GGGCCCATCTACCCTGGTATCCTGCCCCCTCCCTGTTCCCTGGATCAGCACCATGGGCCCATCTACCCCAGTATCCTGCCTTCCCCCTACCCCCCGTCCCAGGATCAGCCCCATGGCCCGTCTGCCCCAGTATCCCACCTTCCACCTGGATCATCCCCATGGCCTGACTACCCTGGTATCCTGCCCCCTCCCTGCCCCCTGGATCAGCCCCTGGGCCCCCCCACCCCGGGTCCCCGCCCCCCCGCCCCCCCCCGGGGCCCCCCCCCCCCCCCCCCCGGGCCGGGGGGGGGCCGGGCCCGGGGGGGGGGGGGGGGGGGGGGACTAGGTGCTGGAGACGACGTGGGGCACCCTGGGGAAGCAGTGCCCCTTCTCTTCAATGGTGATGAGGTTTTGGATGTCGGAGAACATGGTGCAGGTCTTTGGCTTCACGCTGGTCTGCAGCAACCATAGAGACCTTGGCGTCCCCTAGGGAGAAGTGAGGGGGCTGGTACTGGGGAGAGAACCCAGGAGTCCTAGCACCCAGCAACCGCCCGCCCGCCCTCGCTCTAACCACTGGCCTCCACTCCCTGCAGTGCAGCGCCCCCTGCTGAGCCCTGCCCCCTGCCATCTGACCCATGACCCGGCCCAGCCCTGCTTAGCATGAGCTGCCGGGGGTGGCGCACCGGACAGCCCCCATCCACCCCCCCCTAGAGCCTCAATCTCCATCCCAGCTTGCCCAGGGAGCCAGGGTGTCAGCAGCCCGTTGCTAAGAGGACGTGGGGTGCCAGGCAACCACTCCTCACCCTTATTAAAGAGCCAGAGACCTGGGTGTGGGTGGCACCCCGCAGACCCCCCTTTCTTTGAGTGATTCTCCCCCCATGTCCCCTCCGCTGGGCCCCAGCAGGGGAGGGAAAGGCTACAGGAGTAAAGCAGCTGGCTTCTGGGTTGGAAACACTGGGATGTTTCACCTGGTGCTGAGATGCAGCCACCTCTGGCGTGGGGCATCTGGGGAACAGCCACATATAATGCCGCATGGGGACAGCTCGACTGGCACTGAGATGCAGCCACCTCTGGGGCGGGGCAGCCGGAGACCAACCGCACAGTGACAGAGTGTCGCTGGCAGGAGGGGAAGGGGCCCTTTAGCCCATCGAGGTGGGGCCCGTAGACATAGGGCGGATTTACGACAGCACAGGAGAAGGAGGAAGCTGCTGGGGCTGGCCTGTGTCCCAGGTTCTCCCGGGTGTCTGGCTGGTGCGAAGGTCCCAGGAGGGGGTCGGGCGCAAGATTATTGGGGTCCAAGGTCTGTTCGTCAGCCCCGGGCCGGGTGGGCCCAGCCCGCCTCTCACCGCTGGCTTGCGCAAGAAAAGCACAGAGTGGCTGCGGCCGCCACGGCTCATGGCTGAGACCCCCAGGCACCTGCCCTGTCGCGATCATCCACTGTACAAAGAGAGCACGGGCAAGGGAGAGAACTCAGGAGTCTTGGCTCCCAGCCCCCTCTGTTCTAACCACTAGTCTCCCCTCCCCTCTCAAACCTGGGATAGAGCCCAGGGGCCCTGGCCCCCCCCCCCCCCCCCCCCCCCCCCCCCGGCTCTAACCACTAGACTCCCCTCCCCTCCCCTCTCAGAGCTGGGGAGAGAACCCAGGAGTCCTGACTCCCCTCCTGCCCCGCCCAAACCATTAGCCCCCACTCCCCTCTCAGAGCTGGGAGAGAACCCAGGAGTCCTGGCTCCCAGCCCCCCGCTCTAACCACTAGACCCAACTCCCCTCCCAGAGCTGGGAGAGAACCCAGGAGTCCTGGCTCCCAGCCCCCCTTGCTTTTGGGCGCCGTTAACCCACCCCAGTCCCCTGTATCAGGAGAGCCGATGCCAGGCGATAGGGCGGTGCCAGTTCCCACCCCCTGGGTCTGCCGTGGGTCATGGTGGCTTGGCCTGCATCGGGGTCCAGAGGAGGGTCTCGGCTGGGCTGGGGGGTGTCTGTGATGGGGGATCCCGAAGCCCCACTCCGTGGTCGCAAACTGCGTGTGAGCGACAGGGCAGGACGACCAGACTGACAAGGAGCGGCTGCTTCCTGCGAATGACCCCTCCAGCCGCTGGCCCCCCAGCCGCCCGCTCCCCCACTCGCCCCCCGCCCCTCCGGCTGGCTTCTGACTCTCAGCCAGGCTGGGGCTGGCAGAACCTGCTCTGTCAGCAGCATGTGGGAAATCATCCATCCGGGGGTCTGGTTATACAGGGAGCCCCTCGCCTGGCGCTGGGATGCAGCTGTCTCGGGGTGGGGGGTGGGGGCTGTTTACATAGGAACCCCTTGCCCGGCGCTGAGATGCAACCACCTCTGGGGCGGCGCAGCTGTGTAACAACCCAAGGGAGCGAAGAAGCTGGGGGGTGAGGTGGGGGGTGGGGGGTCAGTATAGAATTGTCTAATTTGGAGTCCCACTCGGATGCCCAATTCTCTCCCTCCCCTCTATACTGTGATGGGTTGGGGTGGGGGTGGGTCCCATCTGTGCCGGAGAGGGGCTGGCATAGCCCCTCCGATGGGGGACCTGAAGGCGGCTGCGGGCCAAGGGCAAGAGTCTTTAGGGTGCCCCCTAGTGGTGGATCTAAGTGGCACAGGGCTGCGGGGGGGGGGGGGGCTACAGAACCAAGCGGAACCACATGACACGTCCCAGGATTCCTGTCACCCCCCCACCCCCGCCACCAGAAAGAGACCAGCTGGGCAATGCAAGGGTTGTGAGTAAGAGACTTTATTAAAGACAGAGGATGGGGGGGTGGGGGGGGAGGGAGCGCAGGGCAGGGGCCCCACAAGGGGTTAATGGGGACTGAAATCATCAGCAGCCATGCAGGGAAATGGGGAGCGACCCCCCCCATCTCTGGGAGCCCTCCCTTTCAATGTGGGGAAACTGAGGCAAGCAATGTGTGTGTGCGGCGGGGGAGTGACTTCCTCATAGCTACTAAGAGTTGGGGCAAGAACCCAGGAATCTTGGGTCCCCAGCCCCCCTTGCTCCAACCCACTAGACCCCACTCCCCTCCCAGAGCTGGGGAGAGGACCCAGGCGCCCTGGCCCCCAGCCCCCCTCACAGCCCCAGGTGGGCTATCCCCAGCACCACCAGCAGGGGGCAGAGGCGTAGGCCGGGCGCCTGGGAGCCCTGGGCCCCGGGATTGGGGTGCTTGTGGCCGGGGCGGACGGTGGATTTGGGGTAGCTGTTTTTCTTGCCGGGCTCGGTGGGGCGGGCGCGGGGGCGGGTGCTGTGGGGCAGGTCCCCCTTGTAGCCGGGGTCGGATGGCTCCGTGCGGTTGTCGTAGCCGATGACGTCTAGGTCCGGATAACGTGTCTCCGTGAAGTCGTCGCTGGCGTCTAGGTCCGGATAACGTGTCTCCGTGTGTTCATCTGGGTAGGGCGGCCTCGTGGGAGCCGTGCCGTGGCTGCGCCCGGGGTGTTTGTGGTCTTTCCTGGCCGCGGTGTTGGCGAGGGGGTCATGGCTGACGTTTCCAGAGACCTGTGCCAGGACCCTCTGCCCGTTGCAGTCGCTGCCGGCGCAGCAGGCGCCGGCCTGGCTGAGCTGCAGGGGGCCGACGTGGCGGCTGGGCGGTACGGCGCAGGACGGGGCCTGGCAGCTCCACACGAAGATGGGCACCGTGAGCTTCCCTGGGGGCACAAGGGGGACGTGTGTGAGAGGGACGCCAACCTTCCCAGGGTGCAATGGGGCAGCCATTCTGTGCCATGGGCAACGGGCGACGTGCCAACCTTCCCAGAGTGCCATGGGGCAGCCGTTGGGTACCGTGGGAGAGCCGCATCCGGTCAACCTTCCCAGAATGCAATGGAGGCAGCCATTGAGAGGTCCATGGCAAAGGGGTGGTTGTCATGGCAACCGTCCCACAGTGCAGTGGGGTGACCATTGGGTGTCATGGTGAGTGCAATGGGGCAGCCATTGGGTACCGTGGGAGAGAAGCGTTGGGCCAACCTTCCCAGAATGCAATGGGGCAGCCATTGAGATGGCATCATGCCAGCTTCCCCAGAATGCAATGGGGCAGCCGATGAGACTTCCATGGCAAGGAGGCAGTGGTGGTGCCAACCTTCCCAGAGTGCCATGGGGCGGGTATGGGGGCTCATTGGGGGCCAGAGGCAGCACCCTGACCCAGGAAGTGCCCCAGCCAGTAGTGCCGTCCTGGTCACTGGCGTGGTGTGTGTGTGTGTGTGTGTGTGTGTGCGTGCGCAATGCACCCCAAGGACAGCAGGGGGAGCCAGTGTTGCTGGGGTATAAAGCAACCCCAGCAACACCCCAGCACCCCAGCAACACCCCAACACCCCAGCAACACCCCACGGCTCCCCACCCACTCACCTGCTGTGAGGGTGACATTGCCATGGTAACAGCGGGCATCGTCCCCGTCACACGTCACCCGCTCCAGAGTGTGGGGCTGGGGGCCGAGGCTCAGGCCGGCGTAGCACTGGGTGGGGCCATCGGGGGCCGGAGCTGCAACGAGACACGGATCAGAAACGGCGCCCCACAGAGAGGACAGGCCCCTGCCCCATTTCCCACCCCCCTGAGCCAGCCAGTCCCTGCCCTGGGGCCAGATGGGAGCCAGCACCCCCCAGAGGGGAGAGGCCCCTGCCCAATTCCCCACCCCCCGGGGCCAACCAGTCCCTGCCCTGGGGCCAGATGGGAGCCGGTGCCCCCTAGAGGGGACAGGCCCCATGTCCCATTCCCTGCCCTCCAGAGCCAGCAGGTCCTGCCCTTGGGCCGGATGGGAGCCGGCGCCCCCTAGAGGGGAAAGGCCCCGTGTCTCATTCCCCATTCCCATTACCTGTGCCCTGGCCGGGGCGCCCCAGCCCCAGCCCCTTGGCATTGCACTGGTCAGACTGGCAGTAGCGCACATCGGCCTGGATGTGGAGGAATCTGCTGGGCGCAGCGGGGGGTTCGGTCCCTCCCTTGGGGTGTCCATCTCTGCACCCCCTTTGGATCAGAGTCACGGACATGCCCCCTGGGGAGAAAGAGCCACGCCAAAGGCAGGTGAAGACAGTAGCAGGGAGTTCCACAGGCCCTGGGGAGGGGCCCATCTCTGGGGAACTCCTGGAATCAGCCCCACAGGCCCATCTACCCTGGTACCCGCCCACTCCCCGCCCCC